GAGCTAGGTCTCCGGAGGTGAGCAGCCTTCAAGCTGTGAAGCACCCTCCGAGCCCCGATCCTGTGCTTCCCTGGAGCCCTCAGGCCACACCAGGCCACGTTCACCAGCAGCACTTCATGTCCCGCCCACGAGCTGCGGGGCAGGTGTGGCCAGCTCTGACCATGGTGGGGAATCAGGCCCAAGGTGAGCCACCGTGGCTTGGGCTCCGGCCATGGAGGTGGAGATTCCCCTGCCCAGAGCAAGCAGCTGCTGAGGCTCTGTCCACGGGCCCTGCCTGCACCAGCCTCACCCTCTGCTCTCCCCTCAGTCTCAGGCCAGACCGTCTTTCTGAAGAACATCTCCACAGACATGTCGGGCTACTACATCTGCACCTCCAGCAACGACGTGGGGACTTCTGCAACATCACCGTGGCTGTCCGACCCCGTGAGAGCTGTGGGGCAAGTGGCTGGCCATGGTCCCAACTCAGCTGAGCCTCGGGAGATGAACTGGGACTCCCTTAGGGCCACTCACTGGAAGGGCAGCATGGGGACCTGACAAGATGCCTCCTGTCCCAGGCCTGCCCTCACCTGGGGACCAGTCTAGTTCACTGGATCTTTGGAAGTGGAGCCTGAGACTTCAGCACCTGGCCTTCTGGAGGGTCCCAGTCCTCTGCCCCAAGTGTCACTCAGGGATCATGGGGCTGTACCCAGGGACAGCTGCCATGGCCCGGGCCCATCTTTTTAGGGTGGGACACTCTTCAGCTAGACACCAGGTCTAGCTCTAGCATGAGCTAGGAGCTGGCAGGACTAACACCCGAAGTCTCAGAGCTTGGGTGACCCAGGGTGTTGAGGTACAGAACCAGGGACCAATCTGTCCCTTCTCTAACCTGAGGAGTGTCCCTGGCATGACTGGTCACGGTCCTGTAGACTGTATCTTTTGAGGGGTGTGGCCAGAAGCCAACAGTGCCACGGGCCCAGAGGCTGGGAGGGACCTGCCCCAGCCCCCTGCACTGCCTGCTGCCCCCTGGCAGGAGCCACATCAAGGGCTGGGGAGTGAGCTACTCTGACCTGTTGCAGCCTCCATGAACGTGGCCCTGTATGCGGGCATTGCTGGGGGCGTGGTGGCAGCCCTCATCATCATCGGCATCATCATTTACTGCTGCTGCTTCCAGGAAAAGGATGACAAGGAGGTGGACAAAGAGGACACGAGGCCGTGAGTGTTGGGCACAGCCGTGGGGGGCCTGGGCAGCCCACTCCTCACAGACTCATCCACCCCCTCTGGAGAACGTACTATGTTGGCACCCCTATTTTGTAGCAGCTCACCCAACAGTCCCAGGGCTGGCTTCTGTGGTCTGTGCTTGGCCAGGGCCAGGCCTGGGCGGGTCCCTGTGCTGCTCCCTAATGCCTGCAGGTCAGGTCTGTGGCATCTTCCTGCCCACTCCCTGCCTGACCCTCCCATGCAGGTCCCTTTGCAGTGGCAGTGGGGTGGCGGGTGTGAAGGCTGCTCTTCCCATAGTCTGCAGGAACCCAGCTTCCTGGGGCCCAGGTGAGGGACCTTCCCCTCTGTCATCACGGCCTGCAGGAACCGGGCGGCTTACCAGGAGCCATCAGAGCAACTGAGAGAGCTTTCCAGAGGGAGGGAAGAGGAAGATGACTACAGGCACGAAGACCAGAGGAGCTCAGGGCGCGAATCCCCTAACCATGCTGGACAGTGATGGGCCGCTGCAGCTGGGGGCAGGGAGGGTCGGGGCGCAGCCTCCTGCTTCCTGGCCTCCTTCTCCCAGGCCCAGCTCTGTCCTCCAGCCCAGGCAGTGGTGGGTGCACTTCTTCCCCATGCTTGCTTCTGGGGGCCTGGCTGGTCTGGCTGAAGGAATCCCACCTGTGACCAACCCGCCAACCCACTCCCCTGAAAAATGACCCCTGCCCACTGCCACACCTAGTTCAGGGTCTGCCCCCAGACCTGGACCAGGCCACAGCCTCCAGCAGCTGAAGCTGGCGGGAGCTCCGGCAGGCGTGCACTGCATGTGGGCAGCCCTGCTCAGAACTGCCCAAGGACGCCATGCCAGCCCTTCAAGGGAGCCCAGAACCCAGAGGAGCACCCCACAGAGGGTTGCGCTTAGTGCATTTTTGCTGAAAGAGTGAAAGAATAAATGAGTATGTGGAGGACTCCATTGTTCACCTCACTCCCGGGCACATGTCAGCTGGCCGTCAGCCTCCAGCTGCCCCAGCCTCAGCTGGCCTGGAGTAGGAACCCCCGGGGGCCCAACCCTCACAGCTCCTGCTTCCCTGGAGTTCCCGCAGCCTGACTGGGAGCCTGCTTTGGAAGGGCAGGCCTCCTTTGTTGGTCCTCTCTGATAGGACGGTGTGCCCCACTTGTCAGTAAGTTAACTGAATTGATCTAAAATGAACACCCATGAGCTCACGGATGGTACAGGGCCCCCTCTCCCCCCCCTCCCCGTGTCTCCTCCCTTGGTGGCTCCCAGAAGGACTGGCGAGCCCACCTCTGCCTACCAGCCCACATGGTGCACCTGGTGGAGGCTTGCAAATGCCTCAGCCTCGACCCCCCAGCCCACTGCCCTGCCTGCTGCCTGGGGCCACCCCATGGCTGTTCTCATCCAAGTGCAGTTTACTGTTAAGCAAATATCGATGTCTTGTCTGGATGACCCAAGTGAGGAAGAGAACCAGGAAATCGGACCCATCACATCAGCACGACAGCAGGTGATTTGTAGGCACCTACTGTATGCCTGTCCTCTTGGTCCCCAGGACACCCTTAGGTAGGAGTGAGGCTCTAGTGGAGAAAGCGACCCAGCAACACCTTTACCTGAGGGAGGGACGAGGCCACAGGACATGGTGGGGCAGATAGCAGCTCGAGGCAGTCTGGGTTCTTCAAAGAGGAGGTGACCTGCAGGCTGCACCTTGATGCTGTGGAGGTGAACTTATCTCAGTCTAGAAACTCAGTGGAATTTGGTTGTTGTAGGTTCTCACTGTCAAAATCACCCACAATATGGTCTCCTTAGGCTGACTGGCACCCGTTCCCACTTCATGGTTTTCATGGACAGTTCAGAGACTCAGGGTGCTGCAGAAGAGTCAAAAGCCACCCAACTGGCCCTTGTTTGGCACTCGAGTCAGTTTTCACACAATCCTCCCTTGAGGTTTCAAATATTAAGGCATATGACAATGTTGGCTGTGCATGTCACCCAAGGATGGCCCTAGGCTGCTTAGAGATGTCCCCACAGGTCATATGTAGCTTTGGCTTGCTGCTCACATCCGTCCAGCAAACGATTCTTTTTGTCCACCTGACCCAGGTCCATCTCACCTGGGGCCACCGTGCCCTCAGTGGCTGACTGGTCATGGAATCAGAATAGGACAGGTTGGTTACCTTCAAGGAAACCTTGTCCTCTGTGCTAGTGTATCCAGACATCTTATCACGTGCAGAAATTCTGGAATATTCTCTGGTCTTAGCCCCATCTCTGGATATTCTGACTTGTTTCGATTTGAGTGAGGCTAGGGATGGAGCCCAGGCCTTGTGCATGCCAGGCAAGCACACACCCTGGATATTCTAGGTGGGGCCCTGGCACCTGCAGAAGTGGTTCTGTTGGGAAGTGTGGTCCTGTGGAAGGTGCCTCCTTGGCACCCTTGGCTGCTAAGTTTGAGTAGAGAGTTCTCCTGTTCTCAGGTGTGTTACCAGAAAGACCTGGCCCTGGTTTCTGTTCAGTTCTTCTGCACCTCCTCAGTCAACCACGGCAACCCTGCTTCTCTCTTCTTTCCCATTCCTACGCCAAAATTCCCCCAGCTCCAGGGAAGTCAGGAGGTCTGGAAATTGCTCTTTTTTCTTAAGGGGGTCCTAAAATCTCTGCTGTGGTCTAGGATGTATTGATTTAAAGCTTATCTCCATGAGCGCAAGCTCGTATCCCTGGTTCTGTGGTGTTGGGTGAATTCTGTCTTAATGAACTAAACTGCCACACAACATGGACTGAATGTGTGTGAGGCCCAATCAACAGCAATTTCTCTTTCGCCACCCAGCAGGTTTTGAGCCAGACCCAGGTTCCCAGTCTTCTGCCTTTCTCCTTGGTGGTCTTGCATGCCCCAGGGCTGGGCACCTTCTGCAAGCAGCTAACAGAGCAGGTGTGCCAGGCAAGAGGCATAGCAGCTTCCTTAAACTGCCCCAGAGGTGACCATGTCCATTCTGCTCAGGCAAGCACTAGTCATAGTGCTGCAGGGCAAGCAGGGAAATGCAGGCTCCTCGCCTTGTTAGACTGTTCAGGAGGAAAAGCCATTGGCTGCCGGTTCTGCCACAGCCACATCATTCTAGCTCCTCCTCCTCCCATATCAGAGAGGAGGACCAGGGCTCCAAGAAGGACCTCATCAGGTAACTTTGCCAGCAGGTGGTGGAGTGGGTAGGAGGCTCTACTGCCCAAACCCCAGCTCCCTGCACTGCCCACTCCTCCCCCTAGCCCTGGGCCTGTGGGAGGATTGGGGAGGGAGTGTGAGAGTGGAGGCCCAGTCAGGGCTTTTGGTCTGAATCCAAACATGGCACTGTGAGCCATTACAATAGACATTCCAGGATGACACCACGTGCATTTCTGAAAAACTTTGCATTCTTCAAAATCACACTCTAAAAATAATAGAAATTATTATATAATTAGGCTTAGAGGCAGCTACATCAAAGCAGGGAAGTAATGGGACTGAAGAAATGAAGGGGTCGTCCCCAGATCACGATAAGACTCTGGCGATCCTTGTGGAAACACAGTGGTGCTGATGGACACCATGTGCACCAGGCTCGCAGTCCGTCGACCTCAGCGCTGGCCCCATTACTGAAGACCAGCTCATCCGCAGTGAAAATGACCCAGACAGCTCCTCTGACTTCAAGTGAGGGATCTTCTAGAATGCTGGCTTTCTTCACAAGACTCTTAACCATGTACCTATCTTTGACCTTGAGCTTTCTTGCTAGTGTGTGGATAGATCCTGCCTTTGCCAGGTGGGAAAGGCTGGGTACATTGCAAGGAGGAGTGTACCAGGGGTCCATCTGTTTAAAAGGTGGTCCTAAGTGTAGTCTTTTTCATCCATAACTTCTTTTGTAATACAGAGGAAAGGCCTTTGTTTTGGTCAGCTCAAGCCAGGCCAAGCTGCATGACCACACGTACTCTCAGTGGCTCATGGTAGCACGGTCACTTCTTGTTCAGGTAACATAGTGGATTGGCTCAGCTCTGTTCTGGGTCTTCCTCATTCTGTGGCACAAGCTGAAGATCACCCTAACTCCTGTACAGTGCTGGTCTCAGGCCGAGGGGAAAGGAAGATGGCAGGACCACAAGGTGACACTTGAAGCCTCAGCTGAGCAGGAGCCCCTATGGCCCGTGCTCCTATTCAGGGCCCAGATGGAGCCAGGTGTCAGGACAGGACTCACCTCCTCCCACAGGGGGAGGCAGGGAGAGATGGAAGGTCACCCCCTCCTGTGTCTTCATGGTTTCTTCTCCGCATGGCTGACTGACTGACCGGCGGACCCTAAGGCAAAGC